TCTGGCGCCTTGCTTTCTTGCTTTCCTTTCCACTCTCTCTGTCTCTGGCCAAATTTTAAATAATAATAGTAACAAATGGAATTAAATAAATAAATAATTCTTTAAAATAACAAACGAACTCACATCAGATGCATGTGCATGCATGGTCGAAATACCCCGAGAAGAATGGAGGAGAAGGGATTGTGGTGTGGTCATCCCCACTGGGGAGGGGGTGATTTCATGCTTTCTGTCTCTCTGTCTCTGTCTCTCCAGTGAACACATGCACTCTATAGCAAAAATTGCTTTAAAAAAAAAATAATTAGCAGCCTGACCCAGCCACAGTGGCATGCACTGCTGAAACGCTCTGATCCACAGGCTGGTACCAAATGGGAGGCCCCACGTTTGATTCCCGGTCTGACCTAAAGGCCAGGCATGTGGTGCCCTTTTGTGATCTCACCAACGGAGGAGGCAGACACAAGGCGTAAGAGCACGAGGCTGGCCTGGGCAGCAAGTCAAGACCCTGTCTAAAAGAGTATCAGCAAGCTAGTAGGTGGTGTGGTGGTTAAGGAGCTGGATCCCACACGGTGGACTGCCTGGTTCAAGTCCTGGACACGGCAGCTTGAAAATCACACAGCACACATGTGAGTGTGTGCCCAAGTCCTGAGAGGAGAAGGAAGGAGAGGGGAGTGCAGCATGGCTGTCCCCCCACCCTGGGGGGATGACTTCTCACTTTCCCTTTCTCTGTCTCCTTTCAGTGAGTACACATGCCCTATGGCAAACATCTAAAAAACGAAGTGCCGGTTTAGTGACCCGTGCCTGTCGTCCCAGCTGGGAGGCAGACGCAGGAGGATCACTTACACAGCAAGACTCTTGTCTAAAAATAAGATAAATAGATAAATAAAAGTCCATTGGTTTGTTTCGCACTTTGAATAGCCCTTTTAGCCATGAATAATTCTGTAACATCATGCACCGGTCATTTAGAAAGCCCTGGCTCGCCGAATTACGCAGCTCTTCCAAAGGTTGGCACGTTTCATTATACAATGTCCAAAAACCACCACACGCACATTCATTAATGTCACCACCAATCTCATCAGTCGGGAAGCCTTCAAACTCACAGTGGCAGATAAAAGTTTTTCAAATTCTAATTTTCACTTGAAAGCTCAAATTTTGTCATTGGCAACAAACACTAACAGGTTTTTTCCTTCAACTGACAGGCTCCGTTCATTTGCTTCCGAGAAAACGTCTGCTAAATACTCACATCTGAATAACTGCACTTTGTCGTTTGTTCCTTTAAGTAACACTGGTGCTTTGTGAAGTTAGCACACGACTTAATTGCGTGAGTGCTTTTCTTCGAGATAAAGCATTAACTCCCATTTTGTCACATAACATACCAAAAGATGCAAACTCAAAGAGTTAATAATGTTAATCATTTTGCTTCATCAAGGACATTTTAAAGTGAAACTGGCCCTTTTCCTTCTTTTGTTTTGTATTGCTCACGCATGGTAACCAAGAAAAATAAGACCGCCAGTCCAGTTGCGTGTCATGCCAAGATTGCTGCTCAGGCACCAGCAATTTCACCCATGGTCCCTCTGGCATCACAATTCCAAATATTCATACAGGGAAAATGACAAATAACTTCTTAGTATTGTCAGGAAAATAGTTTTTTCCTTGCAAAGCCCCAGAAGAGTTTTGGGGATCCCTAGGGACATAGGATCAACATCTTGAGAATCCATGTTCAAATTTAAGATTTAGAATACCCATACTTACTTTTCTTTTTAAATGACACTTGTTTTTTAGAAATCACTCAAAGGAATGTAAAATGTTTTCACAAGTATCCCACGGAAAAAAAATGAAGACCAACCCCATCTGTGATACGGTTTGCTTTACTTCCTCGAAAAATAGAAAGAAGGAGGGGGCCTGAGAATGCGGGGAGGCCCAGGGGAGTGTATCAGGCATGTGAAGTCATCCATCACGCGTGTCATGGTGAGCGGACACAGTCCTGGGACTAAAAAGACAAGTGCCACTGGGAACTCAGGGCCCTCTGTCACCCTCCCAGCTAGCTCCGCAGCCCTCCACAACAGAGTTGTACGGTCCACACACAGACCAGTCACAGGCCACCAAAGCTAACCCCGCGCAGCCTGGTAGCGATAGTCGACACGCACACCACACAGACAGCCACACGCAGAACTTCAGCAGCCAGCACCAACCTCACTGCGCTCAGAACCCATCCACACTAGCTTATATCCCCAGCCGGAGACTCTCGATGGCCATGTACCCAATCGTCGTTTCTCTCCGTCTACCAATATGGCTCATACTTACGGCCTCCATTGGGGCCGCCTGCTGGTGTAGAGGTTAAGGCAGCTGGATCCCACGTGGCCGACTCTGGTTCAAGTCCCTGACCCGGCAGCTTGAGGGACACACTGGGCATGTATGCATGACTGCCCAGGGTCCTGAGAGAAGAATGGAGGATTGTGGTGTGGCCACCCACCCTCGGGGTTGATTTCTCGTTTTCCCTCTCTCTCTGTCTCTCTCTGGCAAGTGCATGCAGCCTAAGCAAACAAACAAAAAGCCTAAAATAGTAACAACAATAAGAATAAGACAAATAATAACACATCCACTGGGTTATATGGCCTTGCGCACACACCTGAGGAGCCCACGCCTATTGTTCACAGACTTTGGAGACAGGCCGTTCTGGGTTCAAGTTCTACCACTCCTGAGTTCTGTGACCTTTGGCAAATTATTTACCCTGAGTAAGCCTTAGCGCTAGAGGCTCTTTTTTTTTTTTTTTTTGGAGAGGTTTTTGTTATAAGGCGCGTGCACTCGCCAGAGAGACAGACAGAGAGACAGAAAGCGAGAAATCACCCTCAGGGAGGATGGCCACACCACAATCCCTTCTCCTCCATTCTCCTCTCAAGATCTTGGGCACGCACACACATGCGCCCGGCGTGAGTTTAAGCCACTGGGTCCAGGACTCGAACCGCAATCGACTACATGGGAGTCCAGGGATGTAGTCATTACACCAACTGCTGGTCCCGACCTTAGCTCTAGAAAATGGAGATAATTCCTACCTTGCAAGCTTGATGTGAAGGTGACATAAACTAACCAGACAAGTGACAGCACCCCAGGGACCAACTGTCACTGCCATGTATGGCTTTTGTCACCAGGCGGCACCAGGGCTCCAAGGTGTCTGCAAGGGACACTAGAAGAAAATCAGCCAGACATGCTGAGGCTCCTGGGAGTCAAGGTGAGAGCAGAGAGCAGACAGAGTAGGTGTGGGCCCGCGCCAGGCTGGGCGGCCTCTGGAAAAAGCCCAGCGAGGCCGGGGCACTCAAGCGTGGGCCTCTGGAGAAGTCCTGGTCGCCAAGGGAGGATGGACACTGGCTGTCCTGGTCTGGACCCTCTCCTGTGCCTGTTCCACTCTCAGGACTTTACTCCTCACAAGGAGACCCCGATCAATAGTCACTCCTGGGACCAGCAGGTGTGTAATGGTTACATTGCTGGACTCCCATGTAGTCAACGGTGGTTAGAGTCTTGGACCAGGTGGCTTAAAACTCACAATGGGGGGCCCAGCAGTCTGCGTAATGGCTATGTCCCTGGACTCCCATGTAGTTGACTGTGGCTTGAGTCCTGGACCCGGTGGCTTAGAACTCACACCAGGCGCATGTGCGTGCGTGCCCAAGATCCCGAGAGGAGAACGGAGGAGAAGGGATTGTGGCGTGGCCATCCTCCCTAGGGGGGTGATTTCTCGCTTTCTGTCTCTCTGTCTCTCTGGCAAGCGCACATGTCCTATAACAAAAAACTCTCCAAAAAAAACCCTCAGAGTGGGCACATGTGCGGTTGTGCCCAAAATCCCAAGAGGAGAATGGAGAAGGGGTTGCAGTGTGGCCGTCCCCTCCGGGGGTGATTTCTCACTTTCTGTTTCACTGTCTCTCCAGCGAGCGTACACACCCTATAGCAAAAATTTCTCAAAAAAAAAAAAAATCACTCCTAACAGTATCCCTGGTGAGGAATATGGAGGAAACCAAGGCCAAAGTTTACACGGCAATTAAGTGGAAAACCTGGGATATGAATCCAGGCCACCAATCGCTAGCCCACACTGCTCTCACCATGACCCCTCACTTCCCCTTCCTGGGGTTCTGCCAGGGCTCTTTGACCCTGGCTGTCTTCCCTGAAACTCCGCCTGCTCCCGCCTCACTACCCCCAGCCTGGCCCAGCCCACGGTAAGAGGCTTATCAGACATATGAGGAGGGCAGATAAGGCCGGGCCCCAGAGGAGGGCTTATCCAGCCCCGCCACCCCCAGCTGCCGGCAGGTAGGGCCACACCCACCCAAGCAGCAGGCCGTCACCCTGCCAGGGCCCTCACTCCTCTGATGTCATAGCCCTGTGACATCACCGCTTGTGGTGACATCATTGCTCTGTGCCTCCTTCAAGTCTGATAGCTTGTTCCAGCAGGAACTGGGGAAGTGGGGTCAGACAGCGGCTTCCCCAGGCGCTAGGTCAGTGGGCCTGATTGGGCTGGACTGGGAGGAGAGGGTGGTGTCACAGGATCCTCCCCTGGGCAGTCAGCTATTTTTGGTGTGCTCCACTTATAGCCACCCCTCTTCCTGTCTTCCCAATCCAAAAGGGCTCTGGGCCCAGCGGGGGCAGGGAGAGTGGGAGGAATCTACAGGCCGCAGCAGGGCTTGGGGTAACAGCCCCCAGCTCTAGACAGGCCCTCTCCTCCCCACACGGACGCCTGGCCCTGGCATGGGGGGCTGAGAGGAAAGAGGGCCTTACATCTCACCCCTCAGAGTAGCAGCAAGGCAGGGAGGACCATGAGATGGCCAGACCGATGGACATAGCCAGGCCTGCTCCGACAGTCACATGTGCGTACCAACTCGCTGACATTCTGTGCTCAGTGTCACACCATCACACGCCAGCAGCCCTGCCCTCGAACACACGCCACAGACAGCAACATGCTGAACCACCCGACGTGCCAGCCCAGTGTCGCACGGTCCTTTTTTTACCCTCTCCTCTCTTACCGTTCGGTTCCTAGAGAGTGGCCAGTTCCAGCGCGCGGGGGATGACCCTGAGATTCAGGGAGGGAGAAGATGGACATTCACTTTCACAGGTCCTGGGGCGGGTGCAGGGCTTCCAGGGAAAATGATTAACAGAATAAGAATGCATATAAACAAGTCATGTGCCACAGCAGAGTGAAAAACGCCATTGCCAACTGGATATATACTTCCAAAGAAAACAGAACTATTACGGATGCACACATCATGTTGAAGGTTCAAGAACATGTCTGTGTCCTGGATGTGAGTTTTACGCACTGTATATGTGCTCCGAAAAGCCAGTCCGCATTCCCACGAAGATGTAGAACAATGATATGTAAACCGGAAATCACAATTAAAAAAAAAAATTACACAGGTCCTGGGACCAGCAGTTAGCGTAGTGGCTATGTCGCTGGACTCCCATGTAGTCAATTGTGGTTTGAGTCCCCGACCCAGTGGCTTAAACTCACGCTGGGCACATGTGCATGCATGTCCAAGATCCCGAGAGGAGAATGGAGGAGAAGGGATTGCGGCGTGGCCATTCTCCCGGGGGGGTGATTTGTTGCTTTTTGTCTCTCTGTCTCTCTCTGTCTTTCTGGCAAGTGCACATGCCCTATAGCAAAAACTTCTCCAAAACAAACAAAAAAAATTACACAGGTCCTGCCATCAGGGTGGGGGTGGGGCTGGAGGAAGCGCCATCCCTCTCTCAGCTCCCCTTGACCTTTCCAGACCCAGGCAGGGAACATCAAGGAAGCACTGCTGCCCGTGCCAGCACCACCCCCAGCCCAACTTCCGTCATGGCCACTCCCCAGATAATCCACTCCCAAAGCGACCTTGGTCAGGCAGGCTTGCCACTCCCTCCCGTTCTTCCCAGGGAACTGGGACACTGGCACTCTGAAAGCTGGCTGTGACAAACACTGGGTGGCTAGACGGTGGGGCACCTCGGCTTTAGGTGTCAGGCATGGTGGCTCTCAGAACTGACAACTCCAGGTTTGAGCCCTCTACAGCGTGGGGAGCTCTGACCTTCTCTGAGTTAGGAATTCTAGACTTTGGGAGCTCTGAGCTATTCAGGGGCCTGGGCATCAACTGCCCTAGAGATTGTGCCTGTCCCCTAACAGAGCTGTTAAAATGAAAAATTTGGGGACCTGCAGATGGTGTAATGGTTATGTTGCTGGACTCCTAAGTAGTTGACCACGGTTCAAGTCCTAGACCCGGCAGCTTAAAATTCATGCTGGACATGTGTGCGTGCATGCCCAAAATCCCAAGAGGAGAATGGAGAAGGGATTGTGGCATGGCCAACCCCTCCAGGAAGCAATTTCTCTCTTTCTGTCTCTTTCTCTCTCTCTGGTGACCACATGTGCCCTATAGCAAAAACCTCTCTTGGGACCAGCAGTTAGCGTAATGGCTATGTCGCTGGATTCCCACATAGTAGACCACAGTTCGAGTCCCGGACCTGGTGGCTTAAACTCACACGGGGCACGTGTGCGTGCGTGCCCAAGATCCCGAGAGGAGAATGGAGGAAAAGGGATTGCAGCGTGGCCATCCTCCCGGGGGGGGTTGATTTCTTGCTTTCTGTCTCTCTGTCTCTGTCTTTTTGGTGAGTGCATATGCCCTATAGCAAAAACCTCTCAAAAAAAAAAAGTAAAAGAAAAAATCTGAAGACCAGCAGACGGTATGATGGTTATATTGCTGGACTCCCACCACATAGTCAACTGTGGTTTGCGTCCCAAGCCTGGTGGCTTGAAACTCATGCCGAGCGCGCGTGTGCGTGCGTGCCCAAGATCTCTCGAGAGGAGAATGGAGAACGATTGTGGCATGGCCATCCCCTCCTGGGGGGGGTGACTTCTCACTTTCTAGCTCTCTCTGTCTCTCCAGCAAGCACACATGCCCTATAGCAAAAAACTTCTCTCTTAAAAAAAAAAAAAAAAAAAAAAAAAAAGAGAGAGAGAGAACGAGCTTACATTTTTCTGTCTTTGCTTCATCTTCAGAAGGTCTTACCTGCACCTTCAAGAGGCAAACTACAAGAAGCTATGCACAGGTATGCCAGCCATTGGGCTGTTGGGGACGGATGCAGTCTGGTCATTGAGTCAGCTTGTTCCTTGGTTCTCCCTATGAATTTTAGCAACTTTCATTTTAAAACGCCATACTAGTAAGTTTTTTTCTTTTTCCAGTTGAAAACTATGTAGATGTTTTTAAACACGGCAAAACACAGTACTCAACATGGGGGCTAAGTCTGCATGCTCCAGGGCCACACGTGCACCTGCCACAGCCTGAGGGAGAGCAGACGATGACTGCCACAGCAGGAC